TTGCTTGTTGTTCTCTATTATATGTGTTTGGTTAGCACAATGTTGCTGTTGAGAACGTATCATACAGGAACACTTTAAGAGGAAAAAGGGTTGCTTTATTGACTTGGACGGATATGCATTTCGGGCTTAATGCCCCTCTTCAGTCCTATTATTATTACATAATTATCAAATTGGTTACAGGTATCAAAATTTACAGAATTCATTTAAAAAATTAGTATACGCGTACAGTGATTTATATGATAAAATACAATTACCTGAGATAGTGACCATTAAGCTGGTATTACACATAAGATATATATACACATATTTAAACAAGGGGGGAGGAATGAGCAAATAGTGCTATCGGATCAATATACAGGCACCTGAGGATAGTATAATGTGTGTTAAATTAAAAAGTGGTATGCACAAAACTAAAAAAGTATATATTAAAAAGGTGTAATTTATGAAAAAATAACGAAATACCTGTAGGATGTGACATAATACAGAAGAGATGTGTAGAGAACAGGCCTAATGGGAGATGTTACAAAGAAGTGAGTAATCCTTGTAACATATACAGTGGTTGGTGGGAGTTGCACAGTGGGGGTTAAGGTGGGAGGATGGTAGGATAACTTAATGGGCTTTGCATCTTAGGAAAGGCTGCCAGATGTCATTTATGACAGTTCCAGTATTTAAGTTCATTCTGTGTGTTTCTTTAGTTTTAATAATTTCAATATGTTTGTAGAATTTCCTTTTAAAAATGTTTTTTTCCCTTTTAAGTATTTTGATGCTGTCGGGTGAGATCTCGCAGCCAGTTTGGTTGCAATGAAGCCCGAGGCATTAAGCCCGAAATGCATATCCGTCCAAGCCAATAAAGCAACCTTTTTCCTCTTAAAGTGTTCCTGTATGATATGTTCTCAACAGCAACATTGTGCTAACCAAACACAAAGATAATATGAGTTTAGTTGATAACCATTTTTTAGGCTGATACTTTATTTATGAACATTAAATCAAACTGAGTCAAAAAAGCAAGAGCTTGAAACATTAATTAATAATGTAGTCAATAACTTTCCAAAGCTGGTATATATTAATTTAAACACATACAAGACACCTACATCAGCATATTGTCCGATTTTAATTTGTCGTTTGTTCTGCATTATATATACCTGAAAATGTTTGTTATGTACAGATGAAACATTAGTAAAAATGAGTAATTTTGAGATATGCTGGTGTAGGTGTCATGTATGTGTTTACATTAATACTGTATTTATAACATGTAACAACAGGAGGCCAGAAAGGAGAATGTGCTCCTAGATACTAAATGAAAAAGGGCATTATGAACTTGCATAATACACAATGAATAATTTAAAAAATTGTCAATAAAAATTTAAATATTTTTAAAATCCTGCTTTTTTTTTTTAATTTTTTCTTGGCTTTTTCTGCCCTGAAAGCATTAAAAGTTCTTTTTCCCATACTTTTGGATTTGGCTAGGCCCACATTGAGTATGACAAGGTATAAGCATACCTGGAAATTAATACCTATAAAAAATTCCTGGTGTTGCTTGCTTGGATTCAATCCAAAGTCTTCCAGAGTGATAGGATGATGCCTTAACCACCTTAGCCATTTAAATCTTGCTTTATCACTTTATCAGAGAACAAACTTCTATTAATGTGCCTTTATAAACTTCTATAAAAGTTTTGAGTCTTCCAACCCAACTTCAGATATATTATTGTATAAAAACAGGAGCTTAATGTTTAGATCCGAGTCTACTAGAATTATAAAAATTGAGAAATTTGATCTAATTCAAATGTTCTAACTCCTTACATTCTACAAGCAGACAAAGTTTCTTACATCTTCATTTCTGATCCTTAATTAAGTCACAATGTTGATTTCTCAGACTAACAAACACTTTACTTTTTAGAAAATGTATATTATTTCATTATCATTATTTTCAATTCTCAATTTCATTATAACCTCCCTCTAATTTTAACATTTGTGAGTTATGCTGATGTCATTATACAGAATTAAGTTATCTGTTGAATTAATATGGAAATGAAGAAATTTAGATTCAGATATGGTTGTCCATAAATTATGTCCTCATTTTTCTTGAAATTTTTACTCTCTCTCCCTCTCTTGACCCAGTTTGTCCAAATTTGGATGTCTTTTTATGGTCCAGATTGGGTTGAGCTAACTTACAGAACTATTAAGCAGTGCACAATGAAAGATTTGAGGATACAGCTGCCAAAATGTGGACTAAGAATAGTTCAGTGAACCCATACAGCTGAGGGTGCTGCAAGTCCTCAAGAAACTTTTGAAATTTGACCAATTATAAGGGTATTTTAAGGCCATATGAACAGTATCAACTCAATGGTAACTTGCATCTGAGGTAAAATAATTTTTGCTGCATCTACTTCCAGAAAGGTTACTAATAGAGAGGACTTCTGGCATAGGTACCCTTAAATGAACTTTTAATTAATAACTTTAAAATACTGTACGTGTAGGAGACTTAACTGTATTTGATTATTATTATTTAATTATTTATTTTTCTTCTTTTGAACATTTTTGACTAGGTACTTATTTTGCAATCCTCATTTTTGCACTTAAAGTAATCATCTTATTGATTTACCCATAAGCTGGTCTTGCATATAAACAGTAGTAGACTGGCCCAGAATTTCCAAATTGGGTTCTGCAACTGAAATTCTAGGGATCCATAAATCTTTTAAAATATTTTTAAAATTAATAAATCAAATATATGGTTTATTCATTTTATAACTATTTTTAAGTGAGAAGCTATTTATATGAATCAGCAGTACACCTCAACACAGTAGTTGCTATTTGCATCATTCATATAACTTACATTTCATTGCACAATAAAAATAAAATATATATAATTATTTATTAACTAGGAGATCGTCCCTGACTGAATCACAATGACAGCTTGCAAATTCATGTTAGATCATTAGAGGTACTAAATTAAAGCCACTCATCAATCTGCGTAAGCAGTGAATTCTTACCTTTGTTCTAAAACTTCCTTTAACTTATATACTAAACATTGTGCTAGGTATATTACATTAACGGCACTGACGTCAATAAAAAACTTCTAAAGCAGTGAATGGCTTTACTCCTTGTGTGATTATATCCGAATAGAGTATCACATTATTTGTGAATAAGCTTCAATCTTAATGGTAAACAAAATATAAATGTTATCTATCTCTCTATTGTATTAAATTTTAAAAAATTCTTATTCTAATTCAGGATATAAGCTGCAATGGTATGGCCCAAGCAAACAGATGTGTAGCTCACAACAAATGCAATCTGTTACTTGAAATTTTAAAATGATCCATGTGAACTGACTTTTGGCCTGCCATAATGTACATTTTATATCTTCTAATTTGAAAATAATTTATCACTATTTAGACCATAGACTACCTTGGTAGAAGCCATATTGGTGCAATGAAATTCCCTAAAGTGGTAGACTGACACCTTAACCATCTGTCATTTAGCTGGAAATATGCATATAAGGGATTGTTGGTATTTGGTATAAATTCCTGGGCCTAAATTTGTTGCCAGTCTGACATTACATACAAAATTGTTATTAGAGCATATTCTAAGCTCAATATTAAATACATTAATCCATTGGCTTAAGATTCTATCATTAAAATAGCCTTTTTTTTTAAATAAGAAACATTTTTAAAAAACTCTATCGATTTTGTTGAAAAATTCACTCATTAAAAAGAAAGTTGCTTCAGGGCATCTCCAGGATTATGGGCCCTGAGGCTTAAGCTTCATTAGTTTCACAGTAGATCTTCCAGATCATATCAGTATTAAACTGATATGAAATCACATGAAAAGTAAGTAATGAAAAAAAGTGCTTTCATCAACAATAGAAAAAAATTACTGGTACATTGTTTAGAAAAATGGAAATTTATGAATTAGAAAAATCTGACAACAATAAATATGAATGTATATTTATACTCTCGCATTTAATTATACAATTTAAATGAAAAAATAATAAGTCCAAGTGTATCAAAGTAAGTAACAGCTGTATTCTTAGAGCTGACTGAAAATTACAAATGTTATTGAGCCTACAGGTAGGCAGACCGTATCATTTGCAATCCAACTGGGGACACATTTCAGAACGAGTGAAAACCAGGTCTAAAACTGACTGAGCCCCTTCGGTAATTGCACCAGCCTTAACAACAATACACGACCATTTATCATTCAGCGAACATTTATTATTCTAACGTTTTCTGTCTTCTCGATCGACCTTCTTCAGGATATAACTGAATTTTACAATTTAGAAAGAACAAAGCTGTCATTTATTCTATAACAATTTACAACATTCTGTTTTTGAAACAAGATAAAATTTTAAAAATGTGCATACCAGACTTTTACATGTTGAATGGAATATTGTAATAAATGATAAAAGAACAAAGAATGTTGATTAACACTAGATAATTCTGTGTTATATGAATTCCATGTTGTACGAGTCACTTAGATTTTACAAATACGTGAGCCGTTCACAGCCCGGCACACATATTTGTAAAATCTAAGTGNTGTAGATAATGTGAAGTTATTCCTTTTGATTTATTCTCCACGAGCTAAAGCAAGAAAGTTAATTCAATAATAGTTCACTATCAAACAGCCAGGGATATGGTCTGTAGCAAATCAAACAAGCTGTCCTTTATAAAGGAATGAGAAGAATACAAATCATTGGTCATTTAAAGTAAGATTCCTTCTTTTAAGAAGATCTTCTAGAAACTATAATGCAGAAACTATTCTAACCTCAGCACCAGAGTGAAATCTACACTACACTATCTGGAATCTGTAACTGGTACATGACGTGTATATACAACAACGTCAACAGCAGTATACAATATATATATTGCAGACCATCTAATCTACTACGCAGAAAAAGAGATGCAATCAATAAAAAAAAAGCTGATATTAAATGAAAACAACTAACATTCATAGTAAAATCAACCATTTGCACTTGAATTTGAATGTTATTGTGAATGTATACACATACAATACCAAAAAAATTAACTAAAATTAAAGAAAAAACAGACAAATGTCTGCAAAATTGGTGGCACAGACAGATTAGAATATTCACATCTGCCTAAAATCTAGACAAATGACAGTTGTGAAATTGATAAGCACAGGGTCAGCCTGAGTTATATGTGATGTGTGTTAGGCAGTCACCTAGGGTGCAAACATTTAGTGACATCACAGACAGCATCAGTTAAAGGTCACTCTAGGCAATGGAGTAGCGAACATAACTGGCGCCCGGGGCACAACACAATATTGGCACCCCTCCCTCTCCAGAAACAAATCTTGTTTGTCTTGGAGAACATTTGGTGCCCCTTTGCGAGTGGTACCCGGGGCATAATAGACCCCCTTGCCCCCTCACTATGGGTAGTGGGTCTTCTTTCCGTATTCCTTGACATCTCTGTCTTCTCCTTCCCAGCCATTCTCCTTGAATGATGATTTTTCCCCTTTCCTCTCGCGCCAGTCCCCTTTGACCAATCCGGTATCACCCCCTATTCTCTAGTGACCCATCGAACCATTGGGTCAACCAATTAAGGTGAAGTCAACAGAACAAAGGCTGGAAGTGAAATTTATGAAGTGAAAATGGTGAAAAGAAGAGAAAAAGAGAGAGAAAAAAAACAAAGCTCAACAATTAGATAACAAATCAAGTAGCTTCAATAATGCTCACTCACTCAGGAGTATTTAAATCAGAATCACAAATCACATGTAAACAAAATAAACAACTGCGCGAGAAGTGTCGAATTTGAACAAGTTAGTGCACCACCTGCGCGCACCACTCATTCCCTCTCACTCATTCGCGAAGTGCGTGAGTCGCAGATGAGATTGTTTGATATGAATTGGTTTATTTTGATTTTTAAATTTAATAATTGGTGATTTTGCATGCCCCCCTTTGAAAGGTGCCTGGGGCATGTGCCTACTTGCCCCACCCTAGCTATGCCTCTGACTCTAGGTACCTTTTAACTGATGCTGGCTGTGGCACCAAAAACTCTCGGGCCAATCCTGGATGTGCATCTTTTCAAAGTATTCAAGATATTCTCAATGGGATTTTAATCTAAACACTAATGATCATATCATCTCTCAGATGATATGATCATTAGTGTTCATTAGTTAATCACTAGATCAACAGTGTTATAGGGGGGTCGACTGTATTTGTAAAATGATTTTTAAACAGTTTAGCACAAGTTTAGAAAAGTTCAATCTATAATAAATTTTTTCAGTTTGGCAATGTTACTCTTGTTCTATAGTGGTGTGATATACATTATTAGTCAAGTTTGATATGTGTTTACCAGCATTAGAAAAATGTTTCCATTGTGAACAATATTCTTTCACTAGAGTTGTGTCAATTACAAGCACTAGTAGTAAAATATCTATGAAATGTGAAAGTAAATTTTAAATATTCTTGTAATGACTTTTATGACCATAAAAAATCTAATAAATAGTTTCTAAGGAAAGTATTATCTAGTGAAAAATATAATGTAACAGATCTAAAATAATAACAATCATTTTCATCATTCACATAATATGCTTGATTTTTTTTATTTTTCTTTAATGTGTAGATCAAATGTGTTTCTTTCTATAAACTTGACACTGTATTACATTTTGACACTGTATTATATATAATCATATATTTTCACAATATTAAATTTCATATTATTTTTTTCTAGTCACAAGTGTCTTGGATTTTTATCCATAATTAAGGTAAATGTCTGGGATTACCATTCCAAAACTATGGTAACCCTATCCAGTGCTGTAGCCAGCTTTTCATGTGTCCTGTACAAGACTTTATTTTTATCCCCTCTCTTTTTGAGGGGAAAAAACAAATATGATGGAAATGGTTGGTTAATTTTTAAATATAATAAAGAATGTTATGGAATCAGTCCCAAGATGGCAAAATTTAAAATTTGAAAATGAAAACATAATACTGATCATTTTTTGATACCCATTGTAACATTTTCAAGACTCCTTTTTTCCTGAGCCCTGTGCCTGTACATCTGTTGTACCTGCCTAGTTAAGGATTCTACTTTGCCATACTATAATTGCTCCTCCTCCACAAGAATCTTCCTAATGCTAAAGAAATGGTAAATTATAACTGTGTTTTCATTATATCTGAAATCATAGAAAATTGAATTGAATTAAAGACTATATCACAATTCATCCATTAAATGGAAAATATAGGAGTTCACTGAAAAGGAATAATTTAATATTGTAGATAATGTGAAGTTATTCCTTTTGATTTATTCTCCACGAGCGAAAGCAAGAAAGTTAATTCAATAATAGTTCACTATCAAACAGCCAGGGATATGGTCTGTAGCAAATCAAACAAGCTGTCCTTTATAAAGGAATGAGAAGAATACAAATCATTGGTCATTTAAAGTAAGATTCCTTCTTTTAAGAAGATCTTCTAGAAACTATAATGCAGAAACTATTCTAACCTCAGCACCAGAGTGAAATCTACACTACACTATCTGGAATCTGTAACTGGTACATGACGCATATATACAACAACGTCAACAGCAGTATACAATATATACACGTCACACACCGGTTACAAGTTCCGGATAGTGTAGTGTAGAAACTATTATGCTTATAATATAAGCAAGATTGAGAGAAAAAGAAAGAGAGATCTGTGACTGCCTACTTCTCCCTGTACTATATTGTTATCAATGACAAATATTGATATTTTCAAGATGTTCTGATTCTTAGTCATTCTGTAATCAGTCTTTGAACAACTTTTCTTGATTCATGACATTGTCACCATAGCATAGATGAAATTATAAAAGGGATATTAGGTTATCTCAGTTCAGATTGAAACTATCTTACAAAATCATGCTAACAAATGCTATATAAATAAATTTTTCATGCATTTCTTGGTATTGTTCTGAATATTTTCAAAAGATTCTTTTAAGGTAGTGCTTTGCATATGTAAAATTGAAATTACAAGCACAAATTTTTGTATGTTTTTAAAACTTTCAATATTTGCATGTTTGGCATCTCTTAAGATAACTAACTTTTTACATATTTTTTCACTAATACTTAATAAATTAAGAACAATTGCTGATTGTGTAGTTAATCTGACAATATATTACATTAAGAAGATTGAAAATTGAATATTTCCAATAACTAAAGTAAGAAGACTAACCTTAATTTCAGCGATCATATTTTTGTCTGGTCGAAGGTGAACAGTAAAAGCCTCTCTATGTTCTTTTTCTCCATCAAACAAAACCTCAACATCAACCATTATCTCACTAACATTTGGACCAAAATGCAATTCTAAAATTAAAATTTTAAAAATAAACAAGTTATAAAATAAATTAATTCAAGCATATAACAATAATTTGATACCTTTTGAAAGAGGAAGATAATCAAAGCCAGATTTTGCAGAACCATCTTTTGTATGAACACGAACTATTGATGTTTTGGATAAATCTCCAAGTCGAACAACAGGTATGTGAACAATTGCTACGTCATCAGACTTCTGTGGTTCTTTAATACTAATTCGTGTTTTATTAAATTTTATCACAGGTTCTAAAGATACGGTATATTATTAGAAACACTAAATTAAAAATATTTTGTATAATTTATTTCAAAACTGAGTTTTATTTACTCACTATCTCCATCATCTTTAATTGTAATTTTAGTCACATTTGGACTTCCAAGAAGACCTCCTCCAGCGGTTTCGCTGATGGGAGTACCTAAAACCAACCGAAATTCTTCGTCCAATTCGTGAATTCGATCATCAACTAGCTCCACAACACACTGTTTTTCTGTCTCCCCTTTTAAGAAGAAAAATAATTTGATATTTTACTGCAATCTGATGGTAGAAAACTTACAATAAATATATTCTAAATAAAGTACATGTATTCATTTATTGCTTTTCTACAAAACTAATAATTTTATACAAAAGGTAAACATAAAAAAAAAGGTAAACTAAATTCATCTTATCCATCGCAAAGAACTATACCTGGTATGAGAAAGTTAAGATAATCACAATATAGTTGTTGTCTAAAATTTAAAAACTGAAGATTACAGCTATAAAGAATTATTTTTACAATACTTTTCAATATATGTGATATATTTGAAAAATTCAAGTCACATAAATTTTCTTTATTTTCAAGTAAGATGCTTGTTCAAGTGAAAAAATTTGAAATTTGAATCAAATCACTTAATTGTCTGTTTTGTATTAAGTGATAGTAATTAGATATACAGTAAATTTTAGCAATTAATTTTTATCCTTACCTGGCACAAAGATTACAAAAGAATCATTTGTATCGGGTCGTTCCACAAAATCTAAACTGACTTCGGCACTGTCTTGACGCGTATAGCAACGAACGGCAGACATGTGACTCACATCTCCGCGACGAGTAATAACAGTTACAACTTTCTTGTCATTTTCGAAACCCACGTACGTGGGAAATTTGAACTGCATTCTAGGTACTAAAATAAAAACACATTCAAACATAAAAATTAAATATCTTTTACAGATGTTAAAATATAATGTTTTAAAAATAGCTAAAAATCTTACAGTCACTTAATGAATCATTTATAACGACCGTTGCAGTATGAGGATCTCCTAAAATAGCATTCATTGGCATTCTCAACACAAGTTCAAATGTTTCGGATCCTTCTAATATCGGCTGTCCAAGATCATCTAAAATAATTACCCTAAATGTTTGCATTGTTATGCCAGGTGCAAAATCCAAATTTTTGCCAATGCCAATATAATCTTGTCCAGCTATTAAAATAAATTCACATTTAAAATCTAATAAATTAATTTTTTTTATTGAACACATATATATATAAACAAAGAACTTCATAAAACCAAGGCTTACCTTTTTACCATATCCTGATTTTATTTTTGCAAAAATATAAATTTATTTTTATTAATGAAAAGCGAGTCTAAAACTTTAAAATTAATTTATTTAAAATTGAGATATTTTAACATTTCTTAATACTTTTAATTAATTATTGAACTTTTCTCCCAGACGTTGCATTTTTTTNTTATTTTTATTAATGAAAAGCGAGTCTAAAACTTTAAAATTAATTTATTTAAAATTGAGATATTTTAACATTTCTTAATACTTTTAATTAATTATTGAACTTTTCTCCCAGACGTTGCATTTTTTTATATAGATTTTTTTTCCTTCTATCTAAATATTTTGTACACTTTTAAACAGTAGCTTGGCTAAATGTCAGAATTCCTCAGACAACTTGTTAATTTTTTTTTGTATGTTCCTAAATTTGATCCTCTCTGCTATTCAATCACGTTGCTGTTGCTTGCTTGTTTACTTTTTTAACTCTGTTTATAAATTTTTTTAAGATCTTTCTTATATTTTTCAATTTTACAANAATAATGAAATTATATTCAGAATTGATGTGAAGTAGTCAAGAAAGTTGCTTAATGTTTCTCATACAATTTAAAGAGCAAAGTTTACAGTCAATATAATTCTAGAACAGTTCCGTGCTTCTTATATAGTGCAGAACACCACTCAATTTACAAATGACATTAATTATACTTGTTTTTTCTAATAATGTTCACAACTAAATAAAACAGAGACAAATAACTCTTTGTTTTCAATATTTAGAGTAAACATTTCGCAAAATCAGGAATATTTTTGGCTTAATTAACAATGCCCATTTTTAGGAAATCCAAAATAAAAAAAAAGCCATTAACTTTAGAATAATTTTAAAAAAACTTTATTTTATTCCACAGCTATTTGTGTGCATTAATAATGTAAAAAATGCCTTATATTCATCAACAATTAAAATAAAATTGAAAAACCTATGCCATTTATTGGTACAAACAAAAAAATTAAATTCAGCCCTAATAAAAAATTTTTAAAGCTATAACCCACTGACAAATTAATCATAGAATATTACTGTATATATAAACAAATTAACTATGTTTATTCTGAAATGCATTTAATAAATTATTTAGTATTGTTTATATAATAAATTAACTTTTTGTAAAGTAGTCAGAAAATTTAATTAATTTTCCAGAAACCTAATTTATGTTATTTCTTTTGATAAATGTCATCTTATATTGATTCAGCATAATTTGTTTCCTTCTGAAATGTGAGCTTTATTAGACAATATAATTTAGGATTTGGACTTTGATATTTTCAACTGAATGGGCAAAATTAGAAAGAACATCAAGCAAATGGTGAAATGATGTTTAAAACTAACATATTTAAAATACAATATATTGTTATTATTTTATACATATATATCAAATGTATGTATATATATTTTTAATACAGATAATTATAATCGGGAATCCAAAGGCCAACACTTTCAAAAGATAAAGACCATTAAAAGATTATATAATATTTAATTTAATGAAATCATTCAGCCTTTCTACATAATAAAAGTTTATTGATAATCAAAGAGAATATTCATTAGTATTAAATTTCAGATAATGAGAAAAATATTTATCACAAATTAATTTATTAATAAAGACTTGAATTAAATGTTGCATTTTCAAATTAATAAGAAAAAACTACAATTTTTCTATATCTTTGTACTGTAGATGAGTATTTTCTCTTCTTTTTTTGAAATATGGATAATATTTAAGCTATTTAAGCTGCAAAGCTTCTCCTGGTAGATATATCATTTGATACATTCAAATAATTCAAAAATACATAAAAGAAATATGATATGAATGATTTGTCAATAGAGTATTAAAGTCATTTAATATATGAATATCTATTGGGATCATTCAATTTTAAATATTATAAGTTTTAGAAGGATTAAATGAGTTGTCCAACCTTCTATCATTTGATATCTTGTAGATAGTTCTATCTAAAGTTATCTTTCACTTTCAGAGATAAGAATATAATTAAACATGTAAAGCTATGATGAATTATTATATATAATTTAAATAATTTTTTAATTATTTTAGATGCTGGATAAGATAGATCTTAAATGATTTCAATTGATGATATTTCAAATTATAAGACATTTTATTTGAAATATTGATAACTGATATCCATTTAAAATAATTTATATTAAAAGATATTTCAGTTTATGACAATGTGAATGTTCATACCAGTTCATTTTATTTAATAAAGATGAACTAACCATTGTAGTTACTTTGCTAAATTAAACAATACACCTTTAACAGTATTAAAGTTTAAAGAATTGGGTCAAAAATGTCCGCATTCTTTAAACATCATCTNTTTCAGTTTATGACAATGTGAATGTTCATACCAGTTCATTTTATTTAATACAGATGAACTAACCATTGTAGTTACTTTGCTAAATTAAACAATACACCTTTAACAGTATTAAAGTTTAAAGAATTGGGTCAAAAATGTCCGCATTCTTTAAACTTCATCTGCTGTCAAAGCTGCATTATTTGTTTCACTTAACAGTAACGGATACCATTCGATCATCAATTGACGCAAAATGCTAATTTGTTATTTTACAGTTTGAAATATTCATTCAAAACAATTCATATTAAGTGGTATCAGCTGAGAGTATTTCAAATAATATTAAAATTGACACCATTTAAAGTTAATTGACACTATTTCACTTATATTTCAATAAATCAATTGAAATGATTCCAATTGTGATATTTTAAGCTATAAAATCATTTTATAGCTTAAAATAAGAACAAAGAGAAAATGGAATATTCTATTGATATGAATGTTTTAAAAATTTAGATTTAAATTTTTCTATTTTATACATGTTCTATGCTATTATTTCTTTCTTTTAATTAGTTTTCAAAAAGTGCCCATTCCAAAAACTTTTAAGAACAAAAGCAATGTAATTTCTTGATCTAATTACAGAGAAGATAAATAATTTTTCTCCTAAAGAACTTATTCTGTTAACTATTATTTAATTTTAATTTTTAAATGTAATTTTGTAAGTTAAAGCTGTTACTCTAAATCTTATTCAGAACATAAACAACAAATAATTGTAATTCCAACTGTTATTTTATAAGTACATAATATGTAGTCTATGTAAATTCAATGTAATATCAATAAATTTTTTATTTAATTTTGTCAAAATTGTTAAATTATATTTAAACTTTTAATCTCAATAATTTACAAGATTTATTTGTTGCAGTAAAAAATGAAATGATTAATATCAAAATAACATTCAATGTACAATGTAAATAACATTCAAATAACAGAATGAACATTCAATAAGACAATCTGAAGCTAAGATGAATAGTCTCAAATAGCATTTTATCTTTAATAAAAATTCCTTGATTAGTGTAGCATTTACTTTTTTGTGTGTATGTGATATTATGGGAATTGTTTGAATTAAAGAGTCAACAGACTGAAATAATTTTGGCAAAATATCATTCATTTATTTATTTACATCTGTAGGCATATATACAACAATAGCTAAAATCATATAGGTAGATTTTGTAATTACTCTGTATAGATTAATAAATACAGATTAAGAGTATATAATATTCAAAAACATTTTAATGAAAGATAAGCATTTTTTTTAAAGAAAACAAAATGAATAAAAATATAGAAACAAATGCCAAAGGAGGAAAATATTTATTCTATTTAATAATGAAATTATATTCAGAATTGATGTGAAGTAGTCAAGAAAGTTGCTTAATGTTTCTCATACAATTTAAAGAGCAAAGTTTACAGTCAATATAATTCTAGAACAGTTCCGTGCTTCTTATATAGTGCAGAACACCACTCAATTTACAAATGACATTAATTATACTTGTTTTTTCTAATAATGTTCACAACTAAATAAAACAGAGACAAATAACTCTTTGTTTTCAATATTTAGAGTAAACATTTCGCAAAATCAGGAATATTTTTGGCTTAATTAACAATGCCCATTTTTAGGAAATCCAAAATAAAAAAAAAGCCATTAACTTTAGAATAATTTTAAAAAAACTTTATTTTATTCCACAGCTATTTGTGTGCATTAATAATGTAAAAAATGCCTTATATTCATCAACAATTAAAATAAAATTGAAAAACCTATGCCATTTATTGGTACAAACAAAAAAATTAAATTCAGCCCTAATAAAAAATTTTTAAAGCTATAACCCACTGACAAATTAATCATAGAATATTACTGTATATATAAACAAATTAACTATGTTTATTCTGAAATGCATTTAATAAATTATTTAGTATTGTTTATATAATAAATTAACTTTTTGTAAAGTAGTCAGAAAATTTAATTAATTTTCCAGAAACCTAATTTATGTTATTTCTTTTGATAAATGTCATCTTATATTGATTCAGCATAATTTGTTTCCTTCTGAAATGTGAGCTTTATTAGACAATATAATTTAGGATTTGGACTTTGATATTTTCAACTGAATGGGCAAAATTAGAAAGAACATCAAGCAAATGGTGAAATGATGTTTAAAACTAACATATTTAAAATACAATATATTGTTATTATTTTATACATATATATCAAATGTATGTATATATATTTTTAATACAGATAATTATAATCGGGAATCCAAAGGCCAACACTTTCAAAAGATAAAGACCATTAAAAGATTAAAAATATAAAATCTGATCAAAATATGCTATATGATTGTGTAAATCATGAAACTCAGTATAGTGTGAGCCATGTTGGCAGAATTATTGTAAGGCATATTAGCAAGCTTATTTAAAAAATACAAACACATTAAATTCATTGTTTAGTAAGTTTAACAGGTATAGAAGACCAAACCAGGAGGCAGTAATCAATGAAGGACTGAAAATTAGCAAAAAAAAAAGCATAAAATTGGCTTTAAAGAAACTGGCCTGCAAAACTGCAAAAATGTTGTGACAAATTAGAGCTTCTTAATAATTTTTCTATTGAAGATTACTCCCAAATCAGAGATAACTAAGCATAAGAAAGACAACAGTTTTCAATAAAAAGTCTGAAGTATGAGGATTTCAATCCAAGAAAAGAGTATAACAAGTGCATTAATATAATATGTGCATTAATGACAAGGTTCAGTTTTTTCAAGGACTCAACTAGGGTATTTAGTACCCTATAATTTATAACAACCACATCTCTTTACAAGCAGTCTGTAAAGAGATAGGTTTGCTATTAATTAATTTAATGATGTCAGCATAAGCAATGACCTTGGAATGTATACCAGTAAAACATTTGTTAACATATGCAATAAAAAAATAGAGAGGAACTCTATTGTATGCACAAAGAGGAGCAAAATCAATAAAAGAAAAATCAGCAGCTTTAACATGAAAGGTATAAAACAAAAAACAATTATTTGACTATAAAATGAAAGATGAATCAAGATCAAATTTGGAACTCAAGATTTTGAAAAGGGTGCTCGGAAAAACTGAATCAAAAATTTGTTTTAGGTCTGGATGGACAATGAAAGATGGATGTTTAAGTTTTGTGTTTCAAAATTGTAGATTGTATGACCACTAAGTCAGAAAAGGTAAAATGAAAACAAAGATTAAAGTATTGAAAAGGATTAATAGTAATAACAGAATATATCTGGCAAAGCATGAAAGATTCAAATAGTTTAAACATTACTGAAGAAATGAAAATTGGTCTAAAGGAGTCTGGATCATTTTCTGGAATGGCAATTAGTAGCAAGGAACAACATGGTTGAGGATAAACGTCTTTTGGAAACAAGTGTAAATATTCATGACAAGATGGTAACTGAAATTGATTTCAAATTTTTATAAAAAATTGTTATTTATAAATTATAAACAAATGCTTCATACATTGTAAAACCAAAAATTAAATATATTTTCCACATATAAGTTATAATGAAATCATTTTTCAAATATATAAGTATAAACAAAAGGATAACATTAAATATTTATTATGTTTGTCATTTATGGGATTCATTTTGAATAGTTACTGATGATTTTGTTTTGTTCTCTCTCATTATAATTACAGAAAATTTTGTCAGGAATATAATAATAAATCTATACAATGAAAACTGTCTTATTAAACTTAAATATACAGGGTTATTCAAAAAGATAAAGAAGATTTTGGATTTTATTCCAAACAAACTATAAGGAATAGGAAACACATGGATAGAAAAAAGTTCAAAGTTTTAAAAGTTTGCCTAAAGGTTCCATTCAATGCCACATAATGGCACTGTTTCCTGGAAAATGGTGACGCCACAGGAAAAGTTGTTTTGTGTACTGCAGTATGCAAAGTGTGAATCCATTGTTGAAGTACAATATGAATTCCACTGTTGGTTCACACAAACAGCTGCCTCATCATAAGCAAATTTACAGGTGGCATAAAAATTTTATAGGTGATGGTTGTATATGCAAACAAAAAAGCACTCATTGTCTTCATGTGCTAGAAGAAAATGTCGAGCATATCTGAGGTGCATTCAAATGGAGCCATAGAAAATCCATAATATGGGCATACTGTACATTGAACTTGGAATTCCTCAAACAACAGTATGGAATATTCTTAAAATCAGTCTGCATATGGAGTCATACAAGTTGCAGTTACTGCTGGTATTGCATCCTGGCAAGCAGAACAGAAGGCTAGAATTTTGTACTACAAGTCTACAAGACATGGAAGAGGGAAATCTCTCCGAACAACTAATTTTTTCAGATAAATCAACATTTCATCCCTCTCGGAAAAGTTAATTGCTACAATGTTTGGATTTGGGGGTAAAAATCCTTGTTGATTCTTGTACGACAAGAAATGAACTAGTGTTTTGATGTTTATTGCACAACACATGGTACTCACGTTGAATGCATACAACATTAAACCTTCCTCCATCCAAGGTTGTGCAGAATATGTTTCCATTCCTTACAGTTTGTTTGAAATAAAAAATCAAAATTGTCTCCATCTTTTTGAATAATTTTGTATTACTTTACTTTATAGTAAAGCAGAATATTCTAAGAAAATATGATATTTTTTTAACGTTCTATCAGTTTGAGTTCATATTACATTAACTTTTTCACTCTTTTCTTTCTTATAAGTTTCTTTAAAATTTCCTAATACCATTTAAACTTGAATTAATTTAAGTCTGCTGTTATCTAATTAATGATGATAATGCTTTTTTATAATTAATAACAGTATTCTGAAGTAAACTGAAGAGATACTGCTTATAAATATTAGACATATTGATAATTAGCCTATATAATTTGTCATCTTTTCTTAAAATCTAATGAGAATTTGGATAATTTAACTATGCTATGACTACTATGGTACTATTTTAAAATTTCAAAATATACCTTCAGCAGATACGGGATCAGAAGGTCTCGACTGGACGGTCACCGAGGCTTGTTTAGAGAGATCTGTGCCAGTTCTCCATATCATTACCTCTACATACCCATTACTTTCATCTACATAATATTCCGGTTCTCCAAAATAGAATGACGGAACTGAAATTTATTTTTAAATCATTGGTTTAGAGAATTTGTAAATGCTATTATAATATGCAGAAATTAACATAAATGATAACTTAAATCTTATCAAGTAAAATGAACCAAAATTCATGTCTAAATTTACATTTATTAATTAAATATTTTAATTAAATTCAAGCTATTATAAATTAAAATAAAATTGCTACAGTATACTAACCATCTTTATCATCTGATTCTATAACAATTTTTGCTTTGTCATATTTTCCTAATTCTCCTCCAATTGCAGTTGAAAGTTTAACATAAAAAGTTTCATCTTCTTCATATAGAGAATCATCAATTATGATTATTCTACAGTATTCTATTTTTTCACCTCTGTTAAAACGAATGATGCTGTTGTGATCCTGTGGTCTACTTATATAGTCCGAATAAGACAATACAGTGGGATGCGAAGTTCCAGTTGCACTATCTGGAAAATTTTACATAGTCAACTTAACAGATTATTTAAAAGAACTTTCTACAGTTACGTTACTTTATCTATATTCCTTACCTGATTCAGTTGAACATACAACCATCATCTCCTGAGAAATGTCGCCTCTTCTTTCTATTGGTATCAGTAATTCACCCGAATCTTCTTTCACGATATACTTTTCTTTGGGTATAAATACCGTAGAGACTAAAATATAAAACAATGTTAATTAAGTTACTGTTTAAATTTTATTTTCTACTAGTAAATATATACCATCTTCTTCATCTATAATTGTGACAACAGTTTTTTCTGGATATTCTAGGGCAGCCATGACAGGATCTTCTAAAACAATCAAAAATTGTTCTCTTTTTTCATACAAGCTGTCGTCGAGAATTCTAATTTTCCATCTGGCTTCTACCTGACCCGGATTAAACTGCACTTGCTTGGCAAAATAACTTCCAAAATCTAATCCTTGCTTAGCTGTCATATTTTTTACTTGTACACCTAACATAAGAAATAAGAAGGACAAGGTGTTTTAAATAAATACATGCTTAAGAGATGCAAAATAATTCAAATTTGTACAAACAAATAGATTAATGCTCTCAAGGAAAATGCTGACAGAATATATTATATATTCTATCTGTATTTATACCTTTATAAATTTCATTTATGGATATTTTTAAAGATTACTGGATGCTTACCTACAAAAGATGTTTCTCCTAAATATCCTCTTCTTTTGAGATTTATCTTTAAAAACTTTTCTGTTTCATTAATGGAGTAGAAATCATGTTCAAGAGAAATCCATGACCAATTTATGAGGAATTGTTGATTATCTAATTCATTTTTACCTGAAAGCAAGCAATCAGTAAGTCTCCTGATATGAAAAAAGACTTAATATGAAGTTGTAAAATAGAGATTTGTGACTTTAAACATAATTAGAAAATTATAAATTTATTTACAATTATAGTGATAGTAATTTAAATCTATAAAATATGTCACAGTTTCAATTTTAATAGTTTTATTTCTTTTATTGATTCAGAAGTATAGATGTTCCTGGTTTTAACATCTAGAAACATTACTTTTTAATTAACACATTTATTGCTGTTCTTGAATCTTCTCCCTTGATAATATAAGAGGAAGTAATTAGGAATTTCTAAAATGTTTTCTCAACTAAAATAATTAAGAATCCAGTTAAAATTTCAGAGAGATACTAAGCACTGTTTGGTAAACAAATTTGCCATTTGGCAAATCTGTTGTTAAAAGAGATTACACTGAGTAATAAGTTAGAATGTCAGTTAATGTTATAAATAGCATCAAAAATTATATTCTAGGATACAATTTAAAACATCTCTCAGAAAATTTAATGAAAACAATTCTGAAAACAGATTTAGAAATTTCTAAATCTGTTCTCAAGAAGTTGTAAAAGGTAAAACTTCTTGATAAGATAATGCTTTTGAATAGAACTTGGTAGGCTACTAAACACTTGACATTTTGACATTTCTCCAAATGAAATTTCTTTTTTTCTAAAATTTTGTTTCGCTACGAATATTTTCTAAATTGAGTTTTTCATTGGATAATTCTGTGGCGATCTATTTTTAGCAGAGTCATTCGTCTCCATAAATTATATCAATCGAAAGAGAGAGAGAAAAAAAAGAGTAACATCGACCCTCGTTAGTTAATTTGACGTATTTTTGTTCCGCATCATCATCATTCAAACTACGTTCGAAAACAGTTGTTTTGTCGGGAAAGATGCCAGCCGACAAAAATGCTGAAAATACCATTGGTTGCTGGAGCCAAAGTTCAAAGATCTTCTTCATCCCACCCACAAATCTATCTAAACATTGACTTTTATAAGTTGCATCTGAACAGCATCCTCCAGAGACTTCACTTGTATAAACGCTTTCTTCTTCCCTGCTCCAGGGGGGAGCGAAGGTTCTTTTTTTTTTTCTTAGAAAGGCAACCCCTGCTATCCGTGTGACAGACGGTGGGTTGTTAAAATCAGCAAACAGAATTTAATATGTCGTAACATCTCGACATATGACACGAAAGGCAACTTGTAACGCTCTTCACTATCTTTTTTAGTCATCGGCCATAAAACGAACCGAGGGAGCAGCGGGAGAATTCCAGATTCTCCCTCCGATCACCCTCAAATGTGATTTGTCGGCGGAGGGGAAACAACGTCTGTACGCTTTCGCGTGTGGTCCACCTACAAAAGTTGTCTACACGTTAGTCTCGAATAGATAACATCTAGAAAATGGCACACAAAAATCTTTAGACGAAAATATTATTTTTTGAAAGTGTTGATGGTGATTTAATACCCCCCGGAGACTTGTCATGTCGTAGTTTCGTTCCCTTCGTTGCAGTTGTTCGATGATGTACGACCCGACAAACGAAGTTTGATGAAAAATCTTCAAACAAATTTCTGTCTTTTTTTTTATAGCCGATGGTTTCCGGGTATAAATTTGACAGAGTAAATTCTTCCACATTTTAAATAAATACTAATAAAGATTAATGTTAAAACTTTCAAACTGTGTTTACTCTAAAGTGATCTGTTACTTCCTCAAATGTAGCAAATCGCAATTTTGTAGAACCATAAAAATTATGGCGTAACTCATTGGTGATTTCAAGGTTTAAAAGCATTTTACAATCTTTACTAAATCGATTTTCTAAGCGTCGAGATGATTTAAGTGAAGAAAAGAACGTTTAGATGGGTGCAGGTCGAGGTGGATGTTCTTGTGCCATCAAGTGCCACTAATTTGTTAATCCCATAGGCTACAAAGATGGTTGCACCGATTAAACTAGAATCAAGAGACCATAAAGATAAGTCATAATACTTCTGTTCTTTAAACAAAATGATTCCAACCGAGTTTAATTTCTTTACAGATTCATTCTTTAGAAAATTTGCCATTAAGAAAAGTATATCCGAAGGCTGGTCGTCACCTAAAGGTGAGGAAAGGTGTTATTAAGGTCTGTGATGTGGCGCCTTTACCACTTTAAGTAGAGGTGTGTCCTTCCGAAAGGATCCTCACTGCTTCTCCTTTGTTGGTGACATTAATCGATCCGGATGCGAGAAACCCACCATCTTACAGACTCCATAGACTTATCTGCTGCATCTAGTCTGAAAATCCTCCATTTACAGACTGTTAAAAGCCCTAAGTGGTTATACAGATTTCAAAATGCTTCGGGCCATTCGAAAATATTTGTAAACAAATTGTAGCAGTTTAGATGACGACTTTATTTCTACTCGTTGAGAAATCCTTTGATTTATACGCCTAGTCTTTCGCGCCGAACAACAATTGCTGTAAATTTGCTTCAATTACATAGTTAAGAGCAATATCTCTTTATATAATCTTCCATAATTTGAATTTAACGTGATGATAAAATTATTTAGAATAGAAAAATTTGCACTGAGAATGGAAAATTAGGCATAATTGAACTATAAAAAAATTCAAATTTTTCAGGATAATTTTTAGTAATTTTTAAAATTTGGCTTATGTAGCAATACTTATTCAAAATTGCAAAAATTAATGTTAAAATCTTTAAAATAATGACTTTAAATCACGAAACATAATGCAGTAATATAGGCTACACGAAGAAACACATTCTATACAGACTACTGTACTGTTCTTATTGTAGGCATCTTTTAACCTTAGACAAATGGATCCATAGTATTTATTTATTTAAAATCCACTGCGAATTCCTCATAATTCGTGTGTCAATGGATCTCATTGCAAACATTGATTTAACAGGGCATCGGATAAAAATATGACTTTGATTATAGGTAATGAACTTAAACCACGAAAAACAAGTTTTCTGGAAAGTTTACCTGCAAATATAGATTTGTATCTCGTGCTTCTTTATCATTGAATAACTGAACGGGTGCCATAAACTAAAATTATGGAGTAACTCAAATGATGCATTCTTTCATCCTATACGTTTATATAGCCTATAAATCTTATTTTGTATGACATTTATCGAGTGGAATTTAAATGTTAGTAGGCTACGAATAGCTAAGTTTAAACATTTTTTAACACTCGAAGACTACTTAAAACCTGTAATGACTCTTGTACTATAATTTCAAGCCTCGATGCTTATGCTATCAACAAAGGTAAGCGCCTTTACCTTGATACAAGTTGATACCAATAGAAGCTAAAGTACTATTAAAACCATCTTTTTGTAGGCTTTTAACATCTAGAAGTGTGCAGGATATTATGTTATCAAGATAGAAATCGACGTTTAGAAAGGCGACGCATTCTCACACCCTGTTATTTTCTCATAGAGCTAGTCAATTTGTCAAATTCGAAACGGGGACGTGTCCAAGTAACGCCCGATGGGAACCACCCCGAGTTCTCCTCCCCTTCTCAAATTGACTGATAATTGAAAAGAAAATTAATAATTAATCAACGACTTTTGTTCGTCGACCCCGCCATTTAAACCTGACGAAGTTGCCTGTCTATCGACGGAATTCTTTTTCGGAGGGTGGTGGTTTTTATGACGTGACATAACCGACTCCTTCGGTAACTAAATACAAAGAACCTATTCTATTCGGAAGAAAAAATAAGCGATATCGAGTACGATCACGTTTATGTTTTTCTTTTCTTTTTTGACTAATTGTAACGTCACTAATCACTGTATTTTTTCGTTTCAAATAATTTAAAAATATATATATATATATATGATATTTTAAGCAGGATTTTGGGCAATTTAGTTACTTAATTGGTGATTATAAACTGTTATAAAATATATTTAAATTGTCAACTACTTTATCTTTCAACGTAGAAGTAGATAGATCAAAAGGACGACAGGAAATTCGAGTTCACAGGCCAAGGAAGTGTGAGTGTTACTTATCCTCTGTCGAGCGTAACTTTGAAAATTTTAAACACTTTACTTTAAAAATATCTCATTTAGAAATCGATTAAGTAGAAATTTAAGAATTTGGGACACATTTTTATATATTTAGAACTATGTGTAAGGAAGTAAACCTCTTCCCTCGGTTGTAAAAAAACGGAAGGGAGTATCGTGTAGAGACGAGTCTACAAAAACAGATAAAAAAAAAAAAAGTATGGTGTACGTTGAAGCATAGAGATAAATCAGAATTTAAGAGGTTAGAGGTCGAGTTCGAAAATCATTTCATAACCTATGGGTGGGCACACCTGCGGCTCTATAAAAACCCGCATAAACAACCGTTTACAGAGTGGGTCCACGAGTTCAAACAAAAACTGAAAAGTGCTTAATCAAGCGATTTTTCTAGCAATATCAAATGACTTTCCATCGATCAGGTACCTTTTTTCTGGATTGGAAGAACCTTTTCTGTAGTCTAGCCCCCCCTTCTACGGATAACAATAGAGGATCCCGGATAGATATAAAGATCCTTTCTACCTCTTGGGAGGTCACTAACGAGAATTGACGTGAAGATACTGGGACGAAAATGATTGAGAATGACCTAACACCCAGATACTGGTCCTTATTAACAAAAGATGTTGGAGAAAAAGTGGCATTATTAATGACGTCTTACTAAACTCTTATCTAACCTCGCGACGATAAAGTCGAGTAACGTCTTGTCTGCTTTATTTGTAACGTAACGACCCTCACCTTTTCTCTCACTCGACGACACATGTACCGAGTTTGTACTCCACTCGATAATCTTAATTGATTTTTTCTGTTAACGTAACCATAAAAGGCTAAGTTGTATCCATTTCGCTTCTTTTATAACCTTCCTATCGAGAATGTGTCAAGTTGTGAGGTTTTATGTCCACCAAACTAATTGATATTCAGCTTTTATCTTTAGTGCTAGCTGCAGATAACAAAGTCTTTCATTAAGCTTTACAACTAGTAATTTTTCTTATTT